TGATTTTATGGAATAAAGAGAATTTGTTTTCGATATAAAGTACTGCGCTCGATATAAAGTACTGCGCTATCGCATCAGTCTTGTAATTTTTAATTCTGGGGGAGATTTGTAAATTGACAAACTTCAAATGCGAATTTTCTCAAAACTCGGTTTTGCAGCTGTGTGCACAGATTCGTTACTTCGTCAAAACGGTGACAATTTGTTTCTCTATTCCCTTTTTTAACAATATTTTTGGTAAAGTAAATTTGTCAGTCTGGTTTTATGATAAATACACTGATGAATACATTTTCCATTCCATTATATGCTAGCGGTCAATCAGGAAAATTATGTTTTCACAAAATATTTCAATAAATAGGGAATGCCATGTATATGATGATGATAAATGCATCAGAGGGGCCTCGTAGCCGAGCGGTTAGAGCATGGAGCTACGGAGTGGAAGGTTGGCGGTTCGAATCCCATTCGGACCAAAAACTGGAAAACTTTCTCTGACGACCCAACAGTAAAATGGGTACCTGATTCCTTCAGGGAAGGTAAGACAGCGAGAGGAGAGGACTGGGCACCGCCACTCATATGCCGCGCCCAAGACACAGTGGACCTCTAACATCCCACTGCCCCTACGGCCAGTAATGGCTATGGGACCTTTACCTTTACCATATATATGTAGAGCTGTCCATTTTGAATAATTTAGTATTCGATTACTCAAAACTGTGTTTGACTGAATCTTCGGATAGTCAAAACTGCCAGCTGCAAATGCATGCCGCGCCAGTGTTACTAAATGAGGTCAAAAGTTGCAGGCAGAATTCTTTTATCTGTGTCAAGGGCTTTAACCTGCTACAATTCTAGAAAAATTGAACCGCCGTCGACAAAAAAAGTTACCGTCGACAAAAAAAGTTACCGTCGACAAAAAAAGTGGCACCTGACAATAAAACGCCGCAATTTATGATAAACTAACATTACAGTCGTGTGTGTTCCTGCATGGCATTACGCCTGAGGACAGACAACAAAAGGAGCACAAAGGGGCAATTGATCCTCGAAGGAAGGTGCCTATTGTCCTCGAACGCAGGTTTGTGTGCTTAGTCTATGGGAGAGTGTTATATTACAGGGACAAAGGAAAACACAAAGCCAATCCTCGGAAGCATAGCAAAAAACGACTGTGTGTATACATGTGTGTATTTTTTTCCCCGAATATTCAAAAAGCTATTCGATTATTCGGTTGATGATTGAATATTTGAATATGCGGTGTAGTCAGGACAACCCTGTGTGGAGAAAGGTACATGAGGGGTGGGGTGGGGGGGAGGGGACAGAAAATGCATCAAGCCTTTTAATCTCCTCCGGACTAGTTGGGATAAATCTAAACCTCCCTCAACCAGCAGCGTGGTGGGGATAAGTGGATTAAGCATCGCCATGGCAACAAGGGGCTAATGAAGTCAGTGTTGCTAATCCAATCAGGTCGTGTGAGGTGATTCGGAAAAAAGAGTCTGGAACTTTGGCCGTTAATGAAATTTGTTATTATTTTTGGAGCGCGAGAGAGCGCCAACTGTGAAACTGAGTTAAAAACCAGGGCAGATAGATCAAGGATATTTATGCTGTCACAAGCAAGATTGTGACAAGATGGTGAATTGTAATATTGTAGTTCTAACATTATTTAAAAAAAAACAAAATTTAGATGATAAGATTTCTTTCTTTCAATATGAAACCTTACTCACAGGAAAAGGAAAAAAATAGCTCCAATTTTAATACGACTCAGTTTTGAGAGGAAAGAATAAACAGCTCACTAGAAATTAAGATTAAAATTGTTTGACAAGTCTTAAATTTTGCTTAGTCAATTGTGGATGTTGAACTACTGTTTCTGTCCATTTTAAATTATCATTCCACTCACACGTAAGAGCACTCGCTTAAAATTTCATTTGTTTTCAGATCATTCTAGTCATTCCATAAATTTGGGTTTGAAATTTGTGTGTGTCCCTATTACACCTGATATAAGATGTCGTAAATTCAGGACACGTTCTTAAATGTCTTCTATCTTCAATAGCGAATATGCAAAGCAAAGTACTTGCCAAACAATAAAAAATAGTTTGAAGTCAATTTTAGTGATTTTGCATGGCAAATTACACAGGTCAGGTGTAACTGGGACACAGAAAAGTTAAGCTTTTGGACCCCAAATTTATGGAATGAAATATCTATTTGCCTCTTCATTTTTCTCCCTCCTGCAGGAATCATGTATGCTTTCCTGGGCCACGCGATATCCATTCCCCCCCCCCCAAGTATCCTTAACCCTAACAGAACTCAATCCATCAAACCCCAACAGCATGTATTGTTGGAATCTGTCTGGATGGGTACAATACCCCTAAACTGGCAGTCTTTTACATTGGGTTGGCACGCCTCCAGAAACTAAGTCAGAAATATGTGTGTGCAGTTTCCCATATGGTGTTGGAATTTGCCAGGATGGGTATGGTTCCTAGTAAATCATGCTAGGGAGTTAGGGTTAACAGCAGAAAATTTCCACTCATGAGTAACTGAACTGCATGCAATGCTGAGCTATATGAGAGGTCAAATAATCTGAGGCAATTGTATGAACCCTCCACTGAACAAATTCAAGAAATAACTGATAATTTTGGAGGATTGAGGCTGAATCCAATTTTAACATGGTGGCGGTTGGAGGACTTTGCGGGATTGAGGATGATTCCTAGCCAAGAGGGCCTGGGGGTTAGTATTGTTATATTACAGTCATATAGTTCTTCCCGATTAGCCATAACTACAATGTACACGTATACCTAAGTTTTGGTACACTACACGAACCTTATAGTTGGGCTATCACTACAAAAGGCTGATTCATATAGAATGTGAATGTCACATGAATGTTTGTGCCTTCCACTTAGTTTGTCTATTGTGCCCAGGTATCCCACTCGACGCCATCAGCCTTTGTCCCTTAATGAGGCTTAAACACGGCATGACATAATCAGACTTTTACTCTAATTTTTGTTTCAATAGGTCTATTGATGCTCCGTATTCAAATGACGCAGTGATTTTCGTTGATCCCTGAATCCTCCAAAATCCTTTTTGCAAATTGGAGGAATTTGCAGGATTGAGGTTACATGGCAAAAGTGCGTTGCTGATTTCGGAGAACGCACTGTGTCAAGGTCTTGGGCCGGACCTTGTGTTGTTTATGCTCAGCCGTGCATAAATTTAGTCCTTGATTATACATGACATCCTCCGCACTGCTCCAGGATGTCACTGCCTCAGCCTATTGACAGTCATAGCCGGAGGATTTTGCAGGATTCAGGCAGTGGTCACCCCTCCATGGACCATATTCAAGAAATAACGGAGGAATTTGCAGGATTGAGGCTATATGCTATGTTTCCATGAGGCCAATTGGAGGATTTTGCAGGATTGAGGCTACATCCTAGCAAAAAGGCCTAGGGAGTTAGGGTTAAAGGGAAAATACAACATTTGGAAACATCAAAAAATAAAACTACCAAATCATTTTGAAATACCTTGCTGGACTGTTAGTGAATGACAGTGTAAAGCATCCTGTAAAATCATGGCACCTGGTATACTGTCATTTTCAAGAAAAGTGGTATTTTTGTATCAATTTCCAACGCTGATCGGCCGATCAGCGTTGGAAAATACTGGCTTTTTTCAAATACTGGCCCCAGTTGACCATCGCACTTGTTTGCAATCGATTACACACCTATGAACGGGTACAAGCCAGCTAGACTGGTTCCCTGACCTTACAATTCCCCAATATATGTAAACTGCTCTGTTTCTTCTTCAATCGAGTCAGGGAACCAGACTACATGAAAATGATTGTTTTTCTCGGTTTTTATAGCATTTTCGAACCCAAAACCTCAAAAAAGTCAGTGTAACTATATTTGTTATATATTTCCAACCCCCCAATTCCATCCATTTCTGAAAATTACAGCAAAACCAAATGATGTATATTCCCTTTAAGATATATATTTTGTTTTCCTTAAAAGTCTGAGTTCTTAAGAATGAATGAGACCTATGGAATTGAAGCCAGCAATGTCAATGTTCCCTTCCTTTAACAAAAATGTAGCCCAGCTGATTATAATGGTGAGATTTATTGGAAACTTATTTTGAGTATATATTTTGGGGGTATAACTTTGGGAAAACTCACATAATGGAAATTTTGGACATTTTATGCTACCGTAGCGCCAGAACATATTGGTAAAATGTCGCCAACATGCGAAGACTAGTGGATGTCTCACACTGGGCATGTGCAGCAAGTAAACCCGTAACTGACTACACAGGCAATAGGCTATGAACATACGTGATGTGTAGCGAATTTGTCGTCAGGAATTGCTTGTGGCAGAATTCACCGGAGTTCCGATGTCTTTTACACTTGCGTAAATTTCACAGTGTACTCGTTTGTCAATACACCACAAATTCACATTAGGCTCGCTTACGCACAAAAGTATGAACATTACAGAGTCATTTTGCTCGCACCTTATTTCCCTGAACTTCTCAAAATTCCAAGCAGCCCTGGAGTCAACGTTTTCAAGTGTTCTCCAGCTTCTTTCATTTTTTTTGTCCTCTTTCTGGAAATAAAAACCTCTTTTTTGGAACATGTCTCAAGGGCTTTCCTGTAACAAATACTGCAACGGCAGAGTGCGGTCTTGAAAGGACACGCAGGAAAAACAGCGAACACTCTCTGCAGTACCTTCACTCGACGATAAATGACGCATAAATGGAGTGACAAATGTACAACGGCCCTGCTGAAAGGTCTGCTTCTTTGTTAAAAAAAATCATCTGAGAATTGAAGCCCTGGTGAAAAATGACATTTGCAGTTTCAAGGGAGCGCAGAAAATGCTGTTTTGATGTTGAAAATCAGTGACATTCAAATAAGTGTTGTTTCCGGGCCGTAAAAAAAAATGTGAAGGAATATGTACAAAATTCTGCTGGAATTTTTTGACAAGCAAAATTGAAGTACCAACTAGCCTGAAATGACAGACTAGATGAGCATCCCACACTGCTCTCACCTTGCCATAGTTCCATTTGACGTCCACCACTGTGCCAGTGAGGTTTGACTGCCAGGCTAACTCCCCATGCTCAATGGGAAGCTCACATTCAGACTGCAACAAAAAGAATGGAAACATTAAGTTTTAAGTTGTTAAATATTCTGACAAATACTTGCCTTTATCTACAGTATGTCAAAATAACCGACATAAGATGTTAGTTTTACATGACAGTTTAGAGAACCACTTGCATTTTGCTATCATCTATACAAAACTAACACAAGCCTTTAGAAAACATATATATACCCAATCACAAACAAAAAATTGACCGTTTTGTAAGGCTAAAATACTCTCTTATATCTAGCATCCTATATCATCAACTGTCCAGAAAAAAAACCCCAGGTATCTACACTTTTCAAAGACTACAATATGTAAGCACAACTTGTGCCAAAGTCACAGGGAAAAAATAGAGTTACTGACATACGTCTGAAGTCTACTAACATCATTTTTTGCCATCCGGCGCTCGATGACACTGCGCCCTAAAATTGAAATGGAATGCAATTTGCGTCTTCTATCATTTTCCCTGCGACTGGCTCAAAGACGTCTCGTTTTTTTTTTTAAATCCCTTCAATCTCGGTTTAGTAATTGCAATCTGGGGAGAGACGTCGCGTGAGCGCCGTCTGTCCGTCCGCGATCCGCTATCAGAGTGGGTGGATTATGCCGAGGTGATGAAGTAGACGAGTCGGTAAAATGTCTGACTGTGTACTGCTGCACATCTGTTGGGAAAAGTTCAGCTTTTTTTTTGGTTCTTGCTTGTATTGAAAGGCCATCACAATGTAAAGTAAGTGTGAACGCCTGACTTTCTGATTGATTGGTTTTGAACTATTTGTATTTCAATTCAATACCCAACAGTCGAAAACTGACACTAATACGTTGAATTAAAGTACAACTTTGGAAAACAAATCTTACGGGAATCTATGCTGAATGTACTTCCTGTGCTAAGGGACTTGAAATAAGAATTGGTAAGCTGGACCAAATCAGTGATTTTTAAGCTGTACGACTGAAACCAATCCAGTGGTCTAGCGCTTGAATTGAACTGGTTGCAAATAATGTTGCAACCTGACGCCACTTTGTTCATCATATGTGATGCGATCAAGCTAAATGAGTCATTTGTCAGCCCTTATCAAAATTTGGCTTTTTGAATAGAGCTATCTTTCAGTTTATATTTGGTGAAAACCCCATGTGAAAACAACCTTCCGTTCAGAAGTTATGGGACTTAAAACACAGGCAGATCAGAAAGAAAAAAACAGAGTAATCAAACAGAGAAATCAACCATTGTAAGCAACAATAAACACGTCCTGTGCCCGGAAGAAGGTTATGCAATAGCGCGTAATGACCAAAATGTTCCCAGCAAAAGGGCATATGCAGCAAACTGCCTCTATTGTAATTAAATTTAAACATTTTTGTCAGAAATTACTACCAGTTGTTCCAAAACTTATGATTCATACGTGTGACAAATTTCAAATTCGCACAATTTTTATTACGTGTGGGGGAACATTGGATACATAATACACGAGGGGGAACAATGGAACCTGTCAATGCAATTTTCTTGAAAATGATTTTTGCATCAGAATGCTCATATGCCCTTCTGCCGGGCACCCGACGAACATGCTTTATTTCAGGTTACTGATTATTAACTCCTTTAGCAAAAATGTCACATTTTAACTACTTTATTGTGAGTTTTTCTCGGGGAAAAATAGTTGACATGAAAGAGGACATATGTAGACATTTTGCAATTTCCACCCCTACTGACCTATTTTGGGCTGTATCTTAAAATCATAATTGCCGACAAACGACTCATTTAGCTTGATCGCATCACATATAATTATCTTAATGAAGGTCATTGCAAAAAATTGAAAAGGCATGAATCTGGGACTGAGAATCATTTCCAATTTTGTTAGAAAATACTTTGAAAATACACTCGACTCTCCATAGACTTCGTAGGCCTACACAACAAAAGAAGTGGCGTCTGGATACTACATTCTTTCCCCACCCTTTTCTAATGTGTTTGAATTTGAAATACAGTGCATATCCTTGTAAAAACTGTAGAACCTATTAAGTTTCTGCAATGAATAGGCCCTGTTAATGTACTGCGCACTCGTTGCTATGACACAGGGTCACAGGAATGTGTAAGCTGGTGAAATCTGACACCATTAACGCGTCCCTGAAACCCAAAACCTAGCAACGGTTTTACGAAAAGGGCACAAAAGTTGACCTCCGCCATAAGACCGCCAACACAAGTTCCGATCAAGAAAAAAGAGCACCATAGGCCTACAAATCCTAGCATGAACATGAACAGTACAACAGCATTGATTTCCGTAAACTAATATTCTTTTCGTGCCAGCAACGAAGTGCGACAGTTTTCACCGGAAAAGCACCCACCAACAACGGCCCATTGGCCGATATGGACGGCCTTGCTTTATTCTAAAACACGCGCCGGTAAACGACAAACGGGACTCACCGTTGCACTTGCAATGTTCTCTTTCAGGACCGCTAAAGTCACAAATACGAGACCCAGAACTGTGAAAATCCTCCCGAGTTTAGTTCGAGGCTCCATCTTCCGCATTCGAGTCTTCAGAAGGGCAGAGATATCGCGGAGGTTGTCAAAAATTGTCCTGAAAGTTTAGCTCCTCAAAGTCGAGTTTCATGTTGGCAGATCTGTACTATTGAATGATGTGTACTAACGCACGCAGTGAATTGACAGTTGACGGTCTATTTGAGCGCTCGGATCAAATTGCAAACGTCACCACGTGGTCTTCGCGGTCTCTGTGAAGCCTGCCCTCTATCGGTTTCTTTTTCTATGAGATATTGATTAATTTCACGGAATTATCGCGTAATAAAATCCCCCCGTCTCCATTACTTATTGTTTTTGGCCCTAAAATTTAAGTGACCGTCACTGGTTACAAGTTAAATAAAATAACCTGTTCTTAAAACTAATTCCGAAATAATAAAAAAGACCCACCCCCAAATTCAACGAAACACCCCCCCCCAAAAAAAAACCTCCCAAATTGTCATCAGATCACCTTCAAAATATGATTCAATTTTTCTTCTTAAGACACCTTCTCATATTGAATCTTATTAATACAAGCAATTAATCACAGTATTCTACTTCAAGTAGTACTACTAAATTTCACTCACTTTATTACAATGCATCCAAAATTTGAAATATCTTACAAAAAGACTGTATACATGTACTAACCGACCAGAAAATAAACCTTGCAACACAGAGACACACGGAGTTAGATCAGTTTGACCTTTTTAAAAACACAAATATTGAGTAGAATACCGTGACCTTGATGATTTGAAAGTTTAAGAAAATTCACCAGTACCAGTCAATTGAAAACTGATGATAAAAAGTCACACTTTTGTAATTGTTTACGGTAATCTCCATGTAAACTATAAATTAATAATTCTATTCTTAAAAATAAAGGGAAAGGAAAGTGCACACCCTATCACAAGAGAATACAGTACAATCTTAACACAATACGTGCAGTCGATTAATACATTATTAAAACAAAGACATATTTTAATTAATAATGCAAACAGATTCAGTGATTGTAAGCACACAAAAAAAGGAAAAAATTCATCAAATTTGTCACTGGAACTACTGTTCACTTTCAGACTTAAAACAAAAATGGATATTCATGACACGTGCTTTGCTTGGAAAACTCTACATTTTAACACGTTGTGAGAATTTGGAAAATAACTGATAACATTCTCGCACAATAAGCACATATGTAACATAGATATCCTTCTTTTGAGTTTCCCTGATATTTGTACACACATAAACGATACAAGTTAGTGAAAACTGTTTTGGAAGACTAGATCACACTAAAAATAGATTTTTTTAAACTACTTTTACATTTTTTTTCAAGCATTTATTTCTTACATCACAGAGTTTCAAGAATGAAGAAAGCTTTCCAACAGTTTGTAAAGATTTTGTTTCATTTTAATTTCAAAGAAATTTTAGCGTCTTCTTCAAAGACCCACACTGAAAATAATACTCAGAAACACCTTTTAAGTACTTACAGAAAACTGACTAGGTTGGTTTATAATTTTCAAAATTGAACAAAGAAATTGACTGGAGCGGGGTTTGAACCTGCAACCTGCGGATTACCGTTCCTGTGATATACCAACCGAGCTACCCAGCCCTATGTTGGCAATTCCCCAATTTGTCAATGTCTTTGTTCAAGGGGCGCTAGTCAGAAGCCATAAACCCGTATATGCCACGCAGCCAGGGATCACGCCCAAAGCCAAGATGCTAGCAATGTTAACAATGCTGCAAACCCGGGAAATTAGAACGGTAATCCGGAGGTCGCGGGTTCAAACCCCGCTCCAGTCAATTTCTTTGTTCCACTTTGCAAAATACTTACAACGGAAATGAAAACCAGAAATCCCCACAAATATATTTACAAGTTATTTTATTTCAAGGCCTTTATCGAATGAACGTAAAGAAAGGAGAAAATTGCAGTAGTTTCAAATGCAAATCAGACCAATTGGAATGTCACATTATTTCATCGCTTCTTCAAAATTGTGTAGTTCTTGCAAAAGAAAAAGTAACGGCTTTCCAGTGTTTAACAATGTGAAGTAAAGGGGGAGAAATGGGCCTGTTTTACTGAGATGAAAAATGTCAAATTAGATTTTTCAACTCGACTTAATTTATTAAAACCAGTCTTTAAAATCATAACAGCAGCAATTGTACTATGAAATTGTCCGTTTCAAACGAGGAGTACCGTCCGCCCGCTGTTGTTTTGGCCCCGCCCACTGTTGTTTTGGCCCCGCCCCTGCTGGTTTCGTCGTCTTCTCTGCTGGTTGGTGTTGGGTACATTCCTAGGTTGCTGCAACTGGCCGAACCGATCGTTGAGCGTGCCGCCGCTGATCTGAACAAAAAAGAACCAGAAAAGGCACCAAAATATCAACTTTTGAAATAGCATCCACCATCAAGGAATCATAATGCCGTGTTGTATACCGTACCGGGTCGTCCAAAAATAAACTTTACACTTTTTCAGAGGCAGATTTCTCAAAATTGAAGAGACAATGTTTTAAGATATTCCTAAACTACAAGATCTTGGTCGTATATGCTGAAAACGGTGTTAAAAATAAAGCTCAAGTTAAGAAATTGCGGCCATTTACAGAAAAATGGTCAAAAATGAATTTGTCCACGTCTATGGCAGTCAAGTAGACCTAATTTCAATTATTTTTCAAGTTATTTGTGTGCGCAGTGCTAGTGTGTTGACCACATCTCCTAGACTTGCATGCGGAGAAACTGATTATGCACCATCTGTCTTTAAAGGGAAAATACAACATTTGCAAACATCGAAAAACAAAACTACCAAGTTTTTACGAAACACCTTTCTAGGATGTTGGTAAATGACAGTCTAAAGCATCTTGTAAAATTATGGCACCAGGTGTGAAGCCATTTCAAGAAAAAAATTTTTGTATACATTTCCAACGGTGGTCGGCCGATTTTTCAACTACTGCTCCAAATTTACAATTTTTTTTCTGTCAAAATGTTGTTTGCTATTGGTTACATGTTCATGAACAGGTGCAGGCCAGCTCGACTGGTTCCCTGACCTTACAATTTTCCGGCATCTATAAATTGATCCATTTTATCTTTACTGGAGTCAGGGAACCAGACTACTTGAGCATTTTTGTTTTTCTTGGTTTTTCCAGCATTTGCAAACACAAAACTTCAAACATGTCGGTGTAACAATATTTGATCTATTATGCTAACCCCTCAAATAGTTCATTTCTGAAAATTACAGCAAAAGCAAATGATGTACATTCCCTTTAAACCATCACCGTTTCTTAATTTAGGCTTTGATTTTCAGTGCCGTTTTCACCATATACCACGAAGATGCTGTAGGTTAGGAATATCTTGAAACAAGTCCAACACGTCTCCTCAATTCCAAGAAATCTGCGTCTGAAAAAGTGTAAACTTTTTTGGGACCACCCTGTAGTCATTTCAGTTATGTGCTGTTAAGAAAACCAATGACGACATATCCATTAAAGGGAATATGCATCATTTGCTTTTGCTGTAATTTTCAGAAATGGATGGAATTGGGGGGTTGGAAATATATAGCAAATATAGTTACACTGACTTTTTTCAGGTTTTGGGTTCAAAAATGCTATAAAAACCAAGAAAAACAATCATTTTCCTGTAGTCTGGTTCCCTGACTCCATTTAAGAAGAAACAGAGCAGTTTACATACATTGGGGAATTGTAAGGTCAGGGAACCAGTCTAGCTGGCTTGTACCCGTTCATAGGTGTGTAATCGATTGCAAACAAGTGCGATGGTCGATTGGGGCCAGTATTTGAAAAAAAAAACCAGTTTTTTCCAACGCTGGTTGGCCGATCAGCGTTGGAAATTGATACGAAAATACCCCTTTTCTTAAAAATGACAGTATACCAGGTGCCATGATTTTACAGGATGCTTTACACTGTCATTCACTAACAGTCCAGCAAGGTATTACAAAATGATTTGGTAGTTTTATTTTTTGATGTTTGCAAATGTTGTATTTTCCCTTTAACAATCAATAAGGTGCATACTAATGGGCAGGATGGTGTTTCTTACCTGCATTTTGGGTTTATTCCTGTTGATCTTCACTGGTTTGCTATTCCTGGAAAAAAAACAGAAGCAAAAAAGTCACAAAATAGTCAGACTGACTGAATTAATCGTTTCAATTGGTAGAGAATAGTTACCAGTATTGAAATGTTGTCGGTCATAATCGTGAAGGGTGGATATTAGTTTACTGTTATGTCATTTTAACCCTAACCGCCCTGAATCCTCCAAAATCCTTTTTGCAAATTGGAGGAATTTGCAAGATTGAGGTTACATGGCCAAAGTGCGTTGCTGATTTCGGAGTACGCACTGTGTCAAGGTCTTGGGCCGGACCTTGTGTTGTTTATGCTCAGCCGTGCATAAATTTAGTCCTTGATTATACTTGATATCCTCCGCACTGCTCCAGGATGTCACTGCCTCTGCCTCAGCCTATTGACAGTCATAGCCGGAGGATTTTGCAGGATTCAGGCAGTGGTCACCCCTCCATGGACCATATTCAAGAAATAACGGAGGAATTTGCAGGATTGAGGCTATATGCTATTTTTCCATGGGGCCAATTGGAGGATTTTGCAGGATTGAGGGTACATCCCAGCAAAAAGGCCTAGGGAGTTAGGGATAAAGGAAAATTATTTTTTTGGAATTGGGTTGATTCTGTCAAGGAGTCAGTACTCAGAATGAAACTAAGTTTCAAATAAACCACAATTAAACTAGGAGGATTATGATAATTTTGAAAGTTGAACAAGAAATTGGCTGGTGTGGGGTTTGAACCTGCGACCTCCGGATTGCCGTCCCGGCGCTACACCAACTGAGCTATCCAAGCCCTATGCTGGCGGTTCCCTGTTTGTCAATGTCTTTGACTCAATGGGCGCGTGTGGTCTAATGGTGGAGCACAGGATTCACGATGGTGAGATTGTGGGTTCAAGCCCCGCCGTGGCCATGAGTGTTGTGCCCTTGAGTAAGGCGCTTTACCTCAATTACTCCTCTCAACCCAGGTTTTAAATGGGTACCAGCATTATTCCATGCTGGGAAGGTAACAGACTCACTGTGGAGGAGGTGTGGCGATCCCCCCCCCCCCCCCCCACAGCAGCATATGAGTCTGGCCCAATTGCTAAAGGAAAGAGAAATGGGTCTGTTCCTGTGAACAGAGGTTCGTCCCTTTACCTTTTACCTGTTTTGACTCAATATTTGGTATGCAAAAGAGCAGTGCAAAAAACCTTATTTTATCAACAACAACAACAACAACAAAATCTTACTGCATGGCTCTTGGATTGCTGATGGACACTGTGAGGAGTTTGGGGTTTACTCCCTGGGTGTTGACTCTCGGTTGTCTGACCTTCGGAGCTTTTAACCGTGGGTTGTTTTGGCGCTGCGGCCTGGCCAGATTGGCCCTAGGAGCTGGCTGGTTCTGGAGTAATCTGCCGAGAGGAAACGTTGTGAAAGTCTGTTGATCAAGAATAAACTTAATGTGTTTGGAACATTCAAGAAACTCCTTGCTCTTTGGAGTTTGGAATTCCAACGAGAGGCAGTACGATGGAACTTGCCTGCATTCACTGAAAACAAAAACTTTTGTATCACCGTATGCTAAGCTAATTCAAGGGGACAAAGACTGCCGTTAGAGCCTCTTTATCAACCAAACCAGAGCGAGGCTCCAAGATAATAGTCTCTAGGGACTTGCCTCTTGTTCTTCTGCCTCTGTCGGCGGCTGAGCTGCTGCTGTTGTGTGTTCGTCTCTTGCCTGTTGATTTGCTGCTGTCTGTTTGTCTGTGTGTTGGCAAAGTTCTGGCGGTTCAACCGGACATTTTTCCTGCCGCCTCCTTGCTGTATTGTCTGTGGACCACACAAGACCAAATAATAATAATAATGTAGGGCTTATATAGCGTTTTATACCCAAGTTTCAAAGCGCTTTGCAATTGTTGTCCCTGTTCATCAGGAATGAGACCATTTTTCTGCAGCAGCTCGAGATCAGAGCAATTTGGTCTCTACCTTCCCAGGTATACTCCTGGGTGAAGAGAGGTCATCGTAGTAAAGTGCCTTGCCCAAGAACACAAGCACTATGTTCCCTGTCAGGGTTCGAATCCGCGTACCATGGCATGTAAGTCGAACACCGTAACCATTGGACCACAGCGGCCCACTGAGTATTCCAACAAATGTATTCTCCGTAATTGACTTGTTTGATGGAATTACGCGTTGGAGGATTTTTAATTCCGTTATTAGGTTTTGACCTTTGTTCGGTGATTAGCACGTTCAACTCCACACAAATATCCCTTATTTTATGGCAACCTGAACCCACCTGTATGCCCCTGCGTTGGTTGAACTGCTGCTGTCTTGCTGCTTTACCCTGCTGCACCCGCTGCTGCACCTGCTGCTGTTGCTTCCTGTTGCGATTGACGACCTGCGCACCTGCGGTTTTCTTGACTGGCAACCGCTGTTTGCCCACCTGAAAGAAGGAAAATTTCACTTTGGAAACTTTTTTTTTTTTAGAAGAGTTACACAATTTGAAAGAAAAACCCTCACATAAACCAAATTATGTTCTGCTTTTAGACTGTTTGCATTAGACGGCCATCCTTGAGCTTTTGATTCAGTAACAGTGAACGCATAAAAGCTCTACCCATGAGCGTCTCTATGGAACCAAAGTAAACAAGGAAAAGTAGACATTTGTGGAAGCTCTGTTTGGGTCCACATGCCTCAACTACGACCCCTGGTACAGGCTCATCAAATGTTATCCCCACAATCTTGCAGCTCACAAAATATAGCGAAATTATTTCGATTTCAAGGCAACAATCAGTCCGCACAGGCGTCCTTGGTTTATTCCTCCTGCTGTTTGAAACAGTCACCGTCAAAATTTCAATCCACTTCTCCTGCTATACTTTTAACACAGGCTAGTCACCCGCAGTCAGATCATATGTCAAGCAAGCACTGTGACTAGTCAAACTCAGTCTACCCCTGTCCACAGACCATAAACGGACAAAGCAGGCAAGTTGTGGGCACAGCTGGCTTATCAATTACCCACAGTCAATGCAAAGCTGAATCAAGCTACATAAACAGTCACAGCCAGTCAATCGTGCTTTATGAAGGCTGGGAATTCTTTTATAAAGCGCTTTTAACTACGGTAAGATCAAAGCGCTTAACATCATTATTACCCCCGATGACTGGGCAAATGAAACATTCCAAATACCATCTCAGCTCCCTGGGGAGTATACAGCTCGATGCTGCCTGTTAGGCACAAGCAAGCTAATTCAATCACAATAACCATCTCTGCCCTCACAGGTGCCCATTTACTCTCGGGTGGGGAAAAACAATGAGTTTTTCAATTCAATTCAAGAAGACATTTATTCCACACTCCTTTAGAGAATACATCCATAAATAAAAGAAAGACTGGTAAACAGCAAAATAACAAAATCAATCAATTTGTCTCAAAAATAATCAAAGTAAAATGCGCTTTGAAGAAACGATAAACTTATTTCAATATATATGTGCAAGAGAAAGTAAGGAGTATGGGGCTGTTGAAGTAAGCCGAGGCTTGTAAAAAACAGCCCTTACAGACAACACTAACAACAGAAAAACAACATGATAACGACACACGGACGAGACAGACAAGACAAAAGACTTACACGACGATAGCTAACGGCAAAAAGAGTTGCCCAAGAGCTCATGCACCACAACCCCAGGCTGGACTCGAACCCACAACCCGCAGAATGACCCGCAGACCACGGATTCAATGCCCCGTACCACGAGGCCACGGCACTCCAGCGAAAACAGTCCCTTCATTGATTTCGACTGAAAGGACTAATGTAGGTTTGCAAAGGAGGGTTAAGCCCGCCAGGGTTTACCTTTCGTGCCGGTGCTCTGTTTGTGACGGCCCCGCCCTGTTGTTGAAGCCTGGCCGCGCCTCTTTTCTTCTGCAGTGCCGCGCCCTTGCCTACGTTCTTCTTCCCTCCTATTCTGGCCCGGAACTGCTTCAGCTGACCTTTGACCTGGAGACCCCCTTTGACCAGGCCGGGTCGCTTGGGTCGCTTCTGGCCGGCCGGTCCGGAGGGACGTTGCTTTAAGCCGGCGGTGGCTTTCTTCTTCTGAACGGCAAGCTTGCGGTTCTCTTTCCTGTTCTGCTTGATGATGTCATCTGCAAACACACACACATACACACACACACATTTACGTTACATACCTAGTGTGGACATTCTTTTGTTTTCGTGTAGTTAAAGGGAAAATACAACATTTGCAAACATCAAAAAATAAAACTACCAAATCATTTTGAAATACCTTGCTGGACTGTTAGTGAATGACAGTGCAAAGCATCCTGTAAAATCATGGCACCTGGTATGCTCTCATTTTCAAGAAAAGTGGTATTTTTGTATCAATTTCCAACGCTGGTCGGCCGACCAGCGTTGGAAAAAACTGGCTCTTTTTTCAAATACTGGCCCCAATTGACCATCGCACTTGTTTGCTATCGATTACACACCTATGAATGGGTACAAGCCAGCTAGACTGGTTCCCTGACCTTACAATTCCCCAATGTATGTAAACTGCTATGTTTCTTCTTATATGGAGTCAGGGAACCAGACTACAGGAAAATGATTGTTTTTCTTGGTTTTTATAGCATTTTCGAACCCAAAACCTCAAAAAAGTCAGTGTAACTATATTTGCCATATATTTCCAACCCCCTAATTCCATCCATTTCTGAAAATTACAGCAAAAGTAAATGATGTATATTCCCTTTAAGAAAAACCTGTGAAAAAACTAATTTTACTCACACTGTAAAAACTCTTTCAACCCAATTTTTTTTTACTATGATTTCCTTGAGTGTTTCTTTTGCGACAGATAAAACTAACCCAAAAATGCTTCTAAAACTGTTTTCCAGAGAGGGGGAAACCTTGTGTGGACGTGGGCAAGTCCACACAACGTATCTGAAAACTGGTTTATGTGGACCTCTTTTGTTTGGAAGTCCACACAGTGAATGTAATGCTTGTACACACCAAAAAACAAACGGGGGACAAAATGAAGAGTGACCACAATACAAAGAGGGCCACAGTAGCAGATTTGACTGTGTTAACCCCAAGCATTTACTGGAAATACTGCCAGAAACCTTACCAAATCCTCTCAATTCTCCCAACGTGAAGGCACCAAAATAATAATAATAATAATTTGGGAGGCTAATCATCCTTACTCGCAGCTGGTATGCTGAATTGCAACGGACGCGGCTACAACGTGGACGGGCCGCTTGCACGTAAAGGTGCCTATGGCTGCCAGCCACGTCGACCCATATGTGACCACGGAGCACAGCCTGAGATCGAAAGTGTTTGATTTTTCCGGAGGGAGGAAAACCGGAGGGCCCAGAGAAAAACCCTTGTGACACAGGAGAGAACCAACGCACAACTCTACTCACATGTGATCCGCGGCCAGGATTCGAACTGTGGTCACCTTGGTGAGAGGCGAGCGCTTTACGCACAAGCCACCCATGCCACCCATGGCAAAGTCCTCTGTCCACTGTCTTTCAATTTCGTCGTGTCAGTGCTTAAGACCACGACACAGCTCCATTTTGCAAAGAGAATTTTGGAGGCTTTGGGAAGATTACTTAGGGCTATTGGTCATTTTTGGTGTTTTGTTCCTATTTAGTCCTTGCACAAATTTGAGTGCCTTGCTTTCAGAAAACTTATCAAAACCTTTTAAACATGCCACTATTAAACACCTGTTCTAAGGAAAAAAATATACAATTTAAATGTAAATGTACTGAAGATTTGGTCTTTTTCTTTTTGTCCGACAACAACCACGATCACTTTGCTTTTTACTCATTCCTGAAACAAAGAAACCAAAAAAAAAAGGGAGAGAGTCCTGATTGTTCATGTATCCAAACAAAAAACACCTGTTTCCAATCCCAACAGCTGTTGCATTTGTTCTGAAAATTAAAATCAATACCAAATTTTCTGCCAACAGTGCATTTTTTATTCACAAAATCAATTAGTGTATTTTGCAATGTGCATAGTCTCATATACATACAGTCCAATGTGTGTGAATTCCTATTGAGGAGAGATCACAACGAGCACCGCCCCTTTTGTCCACATAAGGACGTATGCCCCATTCATAAAAAACAAACACCACTTGTGATTGGTTTGTTTGTACAAGCCAGCTGGCCATTCATATTCAAGGTTGCATGCCTGGGACAGGGATTGGAGCTGCAGTTACCAACAACCCTGGTGGTGAAGGGTTTTAAGAATGGACTGCAATACATAAAGGAGAGTAGTTATTTAGTGATTGAATTAGCTGTGTTAGTTGAGGTTACTAGACATGAATAAAGACAACCTTGAGATGTATACCTCATGAACTGTTGCATTTCTTCCCATTTAACAATGTCGAGCGGCAGTTATACAGGGTGACCAAAAAAAAATGCAACCCTAAAACATTTGCCTCTAAAACAGAAAAGGGATCGGTGGATTTTTATGTTTTGGTTATCAGATTAAAGCTGGGAGCTTTTTCTTTCAATTACTGAAAATATCATGAAAATAGCACTTTGGGTTGCTGAGAAAATACCAATTATGTAAAAGTAGTCAATGTTCATGAATTCTGTACACAAATACTTCTGTGAAACATTTTACTGTAAGCCTACTGTGCAATTATCCTTCATTTGTGCAATGTCTTCAATATTTTGACATATTTATGATGCTGAAAAGGTTTAAAATCGTAATAAAAAGGATGACGTACCTGTTCAGGTGGAAAATAAAAGGTATTTCCATCAAATTCATTTGTACCCTTGCCATATTATGTGCCGTATTGTTTGTAAGGATTAGGACATGCACAAATAGGTACAGTGAAAATCCCTTACTGAGGTAACTGTTTGTGTACAGGATGAAAAATGACTACTGTCACACAACTGACTTTTTTTTCCAGCAATCCAAAGTGCTATTTTCATGATTTATTTGTTCAGTATTAGAAAGAACAAGCTCTCAGCTTTAATCTGATACCCAAAACATACAAATCCACAGATCCCTTTTTTTTTATAAAGGCAAATGTTTTAGGGTTGCATTTTTTTGGGTCACCCTGTATAACGAATTCCCTCTGAAACCATTTGGAGTCTATTAATTTTCCCACCTCACAATTTCCCCCCTTCAGAACTCAGCTGTAGCACATTATTGAAACCATTGGCATTGTCACGCCCCAACTATCGCATCGGTCCCAACTATAGTTGGGCCTGTCCCAACTATAGTTGGGCCTGTCCCAACTGTAGTTCCACAGTTGGGCTGGCCCAACTATAGTTGGGCCTGTCCCAACTATAGTTGGGACGGTCCCAACTGTAAGTTCCATTGTTGGGCTGGCCCATCTATAGTTGGGCCACTCCGATCTTTTTATTTTGCGGTGTCCCAACTATAGTTTACATTGTTGTACGATTATAAAACATTCCCTACAACTCTAATACACATCTGACTTTACTGGGGACCAATGAAATGATCTATGGGTGGGGACCATCTGTAGTTGGGCCACCGCAATATTTTTATTTGGCAGTCCCAACTATAGTTTACATTGATGTACGACTATAAAACATTCTCTACAGCTCTGCTTACATGTCCGACTTGAGACCTTTGACATTAGCTATGGGTGGGGCCCATCTATAGTTGGCCGGCCATGGCAATCTTTGAATTTTGCAAAATGTTGCTGGATAATAAAACCCAGCAGCTGGACAACTCATCCAACTAGGCAGTACCACGTGACCGGCCAGCCTTGCGGCATGCATGCACGACGAATACACGGTGCCAGCGCCGCGGAACATTTAATCCAACAAGATCTATCAAGCATGAAGCATCCGGCGCAACTCCAGTCCTAACTATAGTTGGGCCGACCCAACTGCCGCACTATAGTTGGGACAGTCCCAACTATAGTTGGGACCGATGCGATAGTTGGGGCGTGACAGCATCGCGATATTGAGTGACGAGGACGACCTTTTTTTGCAATTTTCACATTCAAACTTTGCTGCTAGTTAGTACTTATACATGTAGTAATAAAATGTACTGGTTTTTAACATTTTAGGAAAGAATGTTACATCCTGACGCCACTTTTTTCATCATATATTATCTCAATGAACATAATGAAGGTTAACCCCACTAGTATGGCCGCGGTATGCTGCGCTGAACCTCTGGCCACACACCGCGGTACCGCGCACTACTGAGGACGTTTTCATAAAAATTCCAGGCAGTTTCTTACAAATTTTTGATGTCCCATCTATCACTTCTGGGATGCTTAGGTGTAATGATGTTCAATTTTCCGAGATATTCTTGAATCTTTCTGGAGCCCATATGCACTCGTTAAAAGTCTGGTGATGGCAGCCATTTTGAATGTGACAAGAGATGACCTCAAGCTGTGACGTCGCGTTTATGCAAATTGCTTGTCGTGCGAGGGCGCGAGTTGCAAATGCGACGGCTGTTTCCTGTACCATGCATTTATCGTATGGGGGCCACGTGCACTGATCTCTATTCAGGATCCACGGCACAGGAAACAGCCGTCGCATTTGCAACTCGCGCCCTCGCTCGACAAGCAATTTGCATAAACGCGACGTCATAGAATACAACCATATGTAAGAAACTGCCTGGAATTTTTATGAAAACGTCCTCAGTAGTGCGCGGTACCACGGTGTGTGGCCAGAGGTTCAGCGCAGCATACCGCGGCCACACTAGTGGGGCTAGATGAAGGTCAGTCATTGCAAAAATGTTGAAAAGACATGAATCTGGGACTGAAAAATATTTCCAATTTTGTTAGAAAATACTTTGAGAAAACAATGTTGCAACAGCACACTTTATAGGTAAAATACACGCCAAAAATTTTATCTCCTTCGTTTCTAACAACTCAATGGGAACTGCCCAAATTTGGGCATAAAAAAACCTGACCCACAAAACAAATACGGCTACGCGCATCAGTGCAATGCTATGCAAGGTGAACGTGATGCTGAAAAATGAAACATTGTTTGCGTTCATAACATAGCATTTCTCACAGACTTACCTAAGCTCATGTCAATCTTGTCCATCGTGGCAATGAAGTAGTTAATAACTGAAACACAGGAAGAAACTTGTAGTTGTGCATAAATCAAGATATGCAAAGAAATGCACTCTTTCTCTCTCTCGAGCTTCGATCGAACAACTCTTCGCCGGCGATGTAGTTTTCATATGCAAAATATGTGCACGCAGAAACTTGTGTGGTACCTATCTACTTCCTCCGCCTTATCAGGTACAATGAAAGCAAAGCTGGAACCAGCCTATCGGTCTGCCGTTAAAAGGTGCTGCTGCCCTCTGTAGTTCGTATGAGGCCAAACTTAACTACCCAAAAATGGAGGGTTTCACTGGTCAACTCGGTCCGTGACCAACTCGGTCCGAGTCAACTCGGTCCGTGACCAACTCGGTCCATAACCATCTCGGTCCGTAACCAACTCGGTCCGTAACAAACTCGGTCCGTGACCAACTCGGTCCGTAACCAACTCGGTCGTTACAGGTGCACTGAACCAATTCAAGCCCCATTGAAAACAGTGTAAAATCAACAAAGTTCAGGGCCAAATAACATGCAAGCCAGCATCACTGGGGTTTCTCAAACAAAAATTAAATTATTGTCTTGTACTTCATCTTTTCATTTCCTTTCAATTTTGGGTAGATTAGGCCCCCAAAAAATACTCGGTCTCTGGTCAGCGCGCGCGTCGATTTTAATCATGCGCGCGCGTCAACCTTTTTTCTTCTTCAAATTAACACGGAAACTACAACAGCGCCCTGTATTGCCGCGCCTCCTCAATGGACCGATCCAGTAAGCACCGCCCCATGGTATTCTGACCAATTACAGCCGTGATTTATGTCCGACGTACGTGCACTAAAGTCCGACATGCGTTCACGCGCGTATGATGCGCGCGGAAGGAAAATGTAGAGTGGCATTGGAGTGGAGCACGTGTTGATTTGCCCACGTGCGCACTTGGCGGAGCTTACTGGATCGGTCCATTCTTTGCACCAAGGAGCACCAAGGAATGGGGAAATTGCACCAAGGCAAATGATAAAGGGCACCAAGGCAAATTATAGAGGACACCAATGCAAATTATAGAGGACACCAATGTATAATGAGGACACAAAAAAAGCAAAATAGTACCCACCTTGTCTGTACAATACAAGCTTGAAAAAAAGCCACCAAAAAAAACCCCGCGTCGCCGCATCAATTCCGGAACTTCGGTCTGACCAGAGACCGACTATTTTTTTTTTGGCCTTAGCCGATTACATTTTTAAATATTCACACCAAAAAAAATCACCTTCCGAAAAGTGATAGTTCCCATAGCCTGCATGTAGCCATTTTACAAGTGGCATCCTTCCACTTTCTCAGGCAAATTGGACCCATTTTTCAACCGTAATTTTATCGAGCCTGCCCTCAGATGGAAGCCCAAAAACCAGGGAGTTGATCCTTGGCTATATTTGCACAATTCCACCGTTTTTTAAGCCAAACGGTCTCCGTTTTCAAAAGAAACTGTGGGGTCACTTTTTATGCTCATCAGCTCGCGTAGAAATTCTCACTTGAATTAGTTCACTGCACCCGGCTCGATCCCTATGGGAATATGCACGCAAAAAGATTGCATTTTCTTGAACATTTGTCTGTTTAAATTTCTTACGCGGATTTCTCGGCCAGTATTAATACCTGGGTCAGTCCAATGTACAAGTGGATGGGATGTGACTGCAAAACCGCTTTGCTACAAGTGCAGGTAGCAAGCTTTGCGGTCACCGTGCATTTGGCGGCATTTTTAAACGGAGTTATAACGAACACCAAGTGGGAACACTTGTCATTTATATATCGACTCGCCAGCGGTTCGAGTCGACGATCAACGCATGATACCCGTGTAGCAATCAATACCCAGCCCACGTGTTGTGTGTATCTATACTGTAGTTGACAGTTCAAATGCACTTATTTGTGTGTATCGCGTGTACATGACACACGATCAAGGCCATTGAAATAGATCTTATTGAGAATTGCATCTATTGAAAAATGTTACCCGAATTATGGACTGAAAACTTTGATACCAAAGTTTTAAATAACAGATTATTAATAGATGTTCAGGGTGCATTAAATTTTCTTGGACAAAACAACTGACGGAAAAAGGAGGGTTGACGGCCTTTAGATGTTTTTTTTTTACCAAGCAAGGTTTTGATATCAATGAACACTTTCTAAAAGCGAAAAATTGTCAAAGGCAGTATTTATCAGCGGAGTCATTTCTTGCGTAGCGAAGAAAGAGACAGGGCAAACATCCGTATAGAAAAACTTCGAGCAAGATGCTCCCTAACCCTAACCACAATCGAACAGCCGTACGTTGAAGCAAACACACCTGCCTGTGGGGGAGTAGCCTTGGTCAATGCTCTCGTCTTTACTCGTCCCGTACGCGGTCAATCGTCGGCATATATCCTCACGCGCTATGCACATGCATGTAAAAATACAGCGCGAACAGCGACCTCATGCGGCCACTATTTTTTTATGCAAATCAGTTGGGGACGATCGAGAGCCTTGGTTCAATCGTCGGCAAAAGCTTATGTTTTTCTTTATTTTGCGCTGGAGTTCTAGCGCACGACCTCGCATGCGAATACAGATAAGTGTAGGCGGGGCTAATATGTGGAGTGTCCAATCACACCTTGGTAAATCCGGACGTCATCAAATTATTTGCAGCTATTCACCTTTTGCGGACGTGACAGGAACCACAGTTTTTGTGCATTGGTGCCGTGTGCAGAGACACACAACGTGTACGTGTATGGATTATGTACGGTGCCACGTTTCACTATGCAAGTTTCCACGCAATGATCGACCAATAAGAAAACAACATTTAAGGTCAGCTAAAGCTATTAACATAATGAGCACCACCCCCAAAACCTCGATCACATGGACGATTGAACCAAGGCTCTCGATCGTCCCCAACTGATTTGCATATAAAAATAGTGGCCGCGTGAGGTCGCTGTTCGCGCTGTATCTTTACATGCATGTGCATAGCGCGTGAGAATATATGCCGACGATTGACCGCGTACGGGACGAATAACGACGAGAGGATTGACCAAGGCTAGTGGGGGAGAGATTTATAATCATGACGGTGGTGAGGAAATTGTTAATGAAAGGCCTCTTGGTGAAGAAAAGGGAAGAAGTTGTTGCAAAGTCAAGGCAGATTAATTTAACTGTAAATTCAAAAGCCAAGGAAGACGATTGTAGGAAAGGCGATGTAGAGAGTCCTTCTTGATCTTCTCGACAAATTCGACAGAGAGTTCGCTCACAAGAAATAGAATTGGCGAGAGTATCAAAAACAGTGCACATGCAATGGTGGTAAGGCTGATTTCTGTTTGGCTTTAGCATTGAGCATCTCATCCAATAAACATAAAAAGAGGCTCATTATCGAGGATGAGTTATAGCAGGGTTGATCGCTTTCAGGTGACTCACAGTGTAGCACTGCTGTGACTGGTCAAGAGCATCGGTCAATGTCTTCTCTATCGCGGTAAATTAAAGCATGTGTGTTGATATGCTATACACAGGTCGTCAACATATGAAGCGCTTTGCGAGCGAGTCTGTCGGTTGGTAGCTCGTATAGATGTTGTACAGAAGAGATGCAAGCACACTCCCTTGGGGAGACCTTTCCTTTGAAGACGTACTCTACTCTGCCATTGAATTCTACAAAGAAACGATGATTCTTCAGTAGAACACCAATAAACTGGGTAAGGGTCAGGTCTGCCGTCATGTCCAGAATCTTCTGAAGGAGTCGGCAATGGTTCACAGTGTCACAGGCAGCTGTAAGATCAACAAAGACAATGCCGGCGATCTATTGTTTCTGATGGAAGCCGCCCTCAATGTACTGAGTGAGGTTTAGAAGCTGTCCAGTTGTAGATTTGCCGGGACAGAAGCCTGCCTGCCTGTTCCTGTATCAGTTGTTTCTTAATGAAGAGGCAAGACAGTTGAGGAGGAAATGTTCCAGCAACTTGAATGTGTGACTTAGGAGGGATTTGGGACTAAAAGTTTTGACCCGCAGTGGGTCTTTCCCGGGTTTTAGGAGGGCGATGACCTTCGACTTTTGCCACACTTAAGGTATTGTTTGTGTGGCGAGGCAGGTGTTGAAGAGCTGGAGTAACCAGTTTGAGGCGTTTGGTCCAAGATGTTTCAGTTCTTCGGTGAAAATGTTATCCAGTTTGGATGCTTTCCTGTTCTTTATTTATGCCAGTCGCAAGCAATAGTAGAGAAGGATTTGATGAAGCCAAGGTCGATGGCGGGGTCTTTCTGGCAGAGCTTAGGTTTCGGTCGCTTTACCATTTAATAGCAGTTTGTTGTGGGCTATTTGGTTGGCGGTGATGTTACAATGCTGTTCACTATAGGCTCTGTGCGGTCATTGCTGAGCTTTTTTTTTTTTATTATACTCCAGGCTTGGAGGCCATATTGGCTTCTTGGCCATATCGGTGGTTACCACAAGGGTTTGCCACAAGCTTTGATAAAAGAAGCTGTTCTGATATGGCTGATATTAATTCCTCCCCAGCTGAGATGGTATCGACAGCAAGAGGGTCGTTTTCATACAGGCGTTTGTGTTTCCTGTAAAGTTCAGCACTACGGGATGCTAAGCCTGGGATGTAATCAGTGCGGCAGCCCCTAGGGATGTTCTTGCACCATCACATCAACAAACCGATGTCATAGTTATCGGGGGTTGGATCAATGTCAGCTAGATGGTGTTTGAGCTCATTGGTGAAGCCTTCCCAGTTGGCCTTACTAAGTTGAAACGGCGGCGAAATGGATTGTTTTGGAGAGACAGCAGCAGTCACTTTGATTCTAATAGGGCGATGTCGGGTCTTTGGAATGGGGTCAAGGACCATCTTGTTGCTAAGAGAGGCGATGTTGTGGCTCACAAGGGCTAGAGCACGGTTGAAACTTCATCTCCAGCCTCCACTGTGGAAAGACTTCGGCAGTTTCGCATTGTGAATAAGGCTCAGTTGACTTGCTTCGGCCAGCGATTCAAAAGCGTCGCCGTATGCGATGGAATGGTAGCCAATGATGCTGCTGTGGCTATATCAAATCCCCGATGATTATGCCGGGCTTGGACTGTTTTGTGGATTGTGGCGGTGGTATTAGGAAGGGGAGTCCAGGTGGTTTGTAGACAGATGTTATGGCTAATCGGATGAACAGCTCGTTGGTTGAATTGTTTTTGTTTCGTTGGTTGGAGTGGCACT